ACCCTCCTCCTCCATCTGTCTGAACATTTCCTGGACTGATTGTTGTTGCTGGCGCTGAAAAACGCCTCTCGAGCGGAAAGAGGAGGGAAGAGGAGAACAGAGCGGCATCACCTGTCTGTCCTCTGTGCACTTTTATCTCACAGGAGTTTCTTTGTTCAGTTTTTTTCTGTGACTTGTTGTGGGAATGATTAGCCTTCTGCTACGTTATTATTTATTACCTGGTAGGTGTAACCAATGAGAGCTGTGTATTGTGACACCATCTCTATTAAAATACATGCTGCTCCTCCCCCCTTTCCTTTCCTCTCCTCTATTACCAGCCAAACAGTCAGGGGCTACTGTGATTGGCAATCGGATTTATTACTAATGTACTACTTCTTCTCTGTTATAAACTGTATTTCGAACGAGTGTTCGGACACTAAATATAAAAGTCAGCTCACACCGGACTACCTTACCTTAGCAAACTTAAACGTGCTGACTCCTCTCCTCGGATCAGGGAGCTCCCGTCTCGACTTCGCATGCAGCTTTTCGACTTCCGCTGACCTTTTTTTTTCCCCCTCGCTCATTCCCGCCATGACTTTCAAACACCTCTGCTGAATGTGAATACAGAAACTGACTTTTAAGGTGGCGGACGAGCCCAAGACGTGGCGGCCAAAATGAACAGAAATGGACTGAAAACAAACAAAAAAAAAAGACGTCACACAGAATGTAGGACGATGAACACGGATCTCTTCAGAAGGGGAACATTTATATCGTCACCTAAACTGGAATTTAAACACGAACTCTGAACCATGAACTGGTACTCCGAACACACACCTGCCCCACCACACCATCCTCTCCTTCTGCAGCTCCATTCTAGCATGTCAGTATTATCGTCGTACAACTGGAAATCAACAAGTACCACCAAGCAATAAAGACGCCGAAGCTCCTTTTCTCCTGCAGGAGGACGCTCATTTGCAACCCAAACAAAAAACTGTTTGCACTGGCCTGTTGCATTCAAATTCAAGTCATTTTTTGTTGTGTTAAATTTATATTTTTTATTTTAATTTTGCCGTTGTAAAGGGATTTATTGTGAGAAAAACATAATACAGTGAATTTGAGATATTTAGGCCACACTGTGGTTAGCTGGCATTTTGTTCATCCTCATATTCCCCCGTGTTCATCCCCCGACAAGCCTTTTTTCTCCTGGTTTGTGAAGCTTTTAGTTGTTTTGTATAACTTTACTGTCTGTTGTTGATGATCTCTCCGTTTCTGTGTTTTAATTTGTTGCAAAACACTGTGTTGTTTGTTAGAATGTGGATGAAAAAATACGTGAAACATTTGTAAAGGTTTACACACTTGCGCACAGATGCGCGCTCACATAACGAATAACTGAAAAAGGGACGATATCAACATTTAATGCACTACTAGCTGTTTCCTAGACGACACACTTTGCGGTGCATGAGGCGATAGTAGAGTAAGCATGTTAGTCTAGGTCAGCCCGCACCCTCCTGTAGAATACTTGATGACGGATCACTGCGCACACATAAAGCCGTACCATATCCTTCTGCAGTGTTATATATCGGTTGCTGGCTCACTATTCCCTTGGCCCGAACTGTTAAGGTCAAGAGTACTGCACTACTATATCCAAGCTGCAAACAGTCATGTGATCTCAGTCCGAATGTGTAGATGAAGCCGCTCTCTGGCACCAGCCGCAGTATGATATCAAAGATATGGGTCCCGACCCCACTTTTCTAGAATTAATGAGTGAAAATATCAAAGAAAACATTAAAACGGACAATAAAGTTTTTGCATCTAAACAGTCGCTGAGTGATTTGCTTTTTATTTAAATGGGAAAGTTTCATTAAACAGGGCAGGGTTATGTTTTGGTTTGTGTCTTTTAACAAGCAGCGCTGCTCTAAGATGTTTCCTAACATGGTCACCTTCACGGAAACTCTCCTCTCTGCTTTATACAATCATTTTTCAAACTCTGGTTTGCAGCACTTTCCCACCACAGAGGTCAATTTGTATTTCTGTCACCAGTAAAAATAACTCCTTCCCTTCTCTCTGTCTGCAGAATTTCCCCCCTTTTTAATCTCCAGTTGTAAAAAAATAAAAAAAAAGGCGGGTAAAGTGTCAACAATTTACATAAAATTAACAAAACCAAGAAATAAACCTGAAAAGCAACAAAGAACATTGTCTTTATTTATTCAAAGCTGATTAATACGTTTATGTTAAACCCACTGTGTAGTTTCCCTCAGCTGTACGAAATGTTTTAGTGTCTTTCAGCTCATTGTTTTGGTTTTACGACTGCAACTTTAATGTTTTGGTTCACTCTCGGTGCTCTAATCAGTGGAGTTTTTGGCCGTCTTTTGGCATTTAGCGTTTAGCATTTAGAGACAGATATTCTTTGGTAGAGACCAAAAACAGGGCTGAACAGAGAATGTCAATGTTATTTTGACTGTTGTAAATACACGATTATGTTCCCCATATTAAGTTCCTTGCGGGATAATATGTCGTATTTAAATTATGTTGTGCTGTAAATGAGTTAATACAGGTTTAATCATAAGGAAATTCCCAATAACCATCTCTTAGACATCATAATGATTAAATGTTTTCCAGATTTCTTTATAGAAACCCTCTCAGTTTAATTTCCCATTCCCACAAACTGACATTTTTTAACCCAGGTACCAATACAATAAGTAGGTTTACTTGCAATACACATATCAATAATCTGAACTCCTTTGAGGAGTGAGACGTAGATAAACACATTTTCCTCAAGGGACCCCTTTTTCTATACTTTAGTAAACTAACAACCCCTGACGAAGTGATGTATTTCATGGATATTTATATATATTCAAAATTGTACAATTAACTTAAACAATGAATTCAGTAATTGCGAAAAGTTTGTGTAAAACGAGTGATTTGGATGATTTTTGAGCAGATTAATTCCAGTTTAGGGAATTTATTATACAATTATCTGTCTGTATTATGTATATTTTTACATTTTACATCATTTTGTTGTACAATCAAATTCTGGACCCACGTCCCTTTATAAGTCCTGTGACCCGACCTTTGCTAAACACAGTCAAATTTTTGTGCAATTAGAAATGTAACATATATAAACATCAATTCAAATCCAAATGAACCATTTTCATCTATTTGGCTGAAGCAATCACCAACTGTTGCTGCTCACTACGCTGCTGATGCTGCGTCCACAAGACCAGCTGGATGTCAATGAATCCCTGAACCAGTTCACTGAATCCATCACCACATTGTTTAAAACAATCTGATGTCCTTGCACAAAAAACAGCTAACCGGGTTACAGCGTGCTTGTTTTCTTGTTTTGGCAGTTTGAGAGTTGTATGTTTCATCAGAGAGGAAACGTAAAAAGAATAAAAAGAAGCAGTAGTGGTTTGATTCATCAAAAAGAATAATCAATAAAAAATTACTGATTAATAATCAGTGTTTGGCAGTAGCTCATTACTAGTATTAATATTACTTCCCCCAATAACTAGTAGTGTAACTAATTACTAATAAATTTCAGTAATAATATTAAAAAAGTTACTTCTTCAAAAAATAGTTACAATATTACTTTTGTTGGCACATTTGAAATAAAACAATCCAATTACATCCTTGGATAATTACCAATTGTGCTGGGGTAGCAGAAACATAACTCACAATTTAACTAACTATTGTTGGCAGTAGTAATAAGTAAAGTAATAATCTTACTTTTTAAAAGAGTAATGAGTAATAAATGACATTTTTTTTGAGTAACTAGCCCCACACTGTAAATAATTAATTAATGATAAGCAGCAATCAGTTTCAGCTCCATCCAACCTTTAACTTCATAAAGTCAAGTGTACGCACAGAAGTCGATTAAAATCTGTGAAGTCCATTTACTGTACAAAAAACTGAAAAAATCTTTAAAAAAAAAAAACGCATAAATAATAAATCAGCTTTAATGCTCAGCTGCCCACTGTGAGCCTGGCACAGGACGACAATGAGTGGGTTTTAAATGGCATCAGTGTTCCTAATGTCATTACCACATTACCACATTACCACCTAATTGAATTTTACCTTCTCGTTTGCTCGTGTGCTGTGTGTCCTCAGATGCACAGACTTACACCCACAATCCATTTGTCGCCAGTGTCAAATAAGTTTGTGAGCAAGCTGTAAATTCACATTATCTCTCTCTCCGCTCTCAGTTGGACAAGTCCTTCCCCACCTGCCTTTCCTTTAGTTTTATTATTTGTCAAGCAATCATCTTCAATCTCACCTGCTTCGAGAGTCAAATCGAGGTCTGATATATACACAGTGTGTCTCCCTCCTTTGTCAAACAATTACGTCAATCCAGGGCCGTCCACTGTGGGATGGGTTTCTCATTTCAGGCAGTTGACAGAGGTCATTTGTTCTGCCCAGCCCTCCTCAGCTCAAACCAAAGGACAGCATCACAGAGGATCTGGTCTTACAGCAGAGAGGCACACACTCGGCTGGATGCTGCTCTTAACACACACACACTCACACACTCACACACACTCTAAGGCTGCAGATATGATGCACGTTGCTTTTCTTCTCCTGGTCGTCTTCACAGGTAAGAGCATGTTTGAGGGGTGTATATGTTTGAACCTCTGATTGTTTTTGAGAGTCAGGAGGACAGCAAAATTAACAGTGATGATTTTATGCAAAATCTTCTATACTATCGTATGATATATTACAAGACTATAGTGAAACAAAAAAAAAAAAAACAGAAACAGAGACACACTGTTTATATCTGGTGTATAAACTGAGGAGCCTGTAGATGTTGTCCCAGAGTTGTTTCAGCTGCACATTTTAAACCAAAGAATTTCGTCACACTCAAAGACTTATTTGCTTTATCTGCTTCACAGTGATGTTTTTTCTTCTTAATATGAAAAAGAGAAACAGTGCTTCATCGAAAGGGAGGGAAAAAAGTATAAAAAGAAAAAAATAAATTATGTGGGAAGATATGGAACAGAAATCCAGCCCTCCTCTTATTTATAGCATTTAAAAAATGTACACAGACGATTACTATAATTGCTCTCTGTCAGCCAGCAGGGACATAACAGTGGATGTGTGTTTATTTTTTTTATTATTAGAAACTTACAAAAGAAAAAAGGGCTTTAAAAAAATTGGTGTTTTCTTAAATGTTCAGCTTTGGAGTGTAAAATAAATCAGGTTTATTAACAACAGTAACACAGAAAACATATATATAGTGTGTATAACATATATTGTATAATCTACCACAGTAGATCACACAAAGACAATATCAAATAATCGAATAGTATGAATGTAATTAAATATATTTTAAAGGCAAAACGTCTCTCTCTTTAATGTACAGTAGCTGCGGCGCCCTCTAAGAAAGTGTGCAGCTACCAGGACATTCTGGATTACCTGAACCTGACCACAAATAACAGCGTGTTTAAACTGACCCGGCCCATTCTGGACTACACGCACCCAACCACGGTGGAGCTGGACATCATCCTCTTCGCCATCCTGGCTGTGGTAGGTTGGTTACTGTGTTGGTGTATCTGCTGAATGTGACCATGCAGTTGATTAGTGCTGATGTGTGTGTGTGTGTGTGTGTGCATTTCCAGATTGAGAAAACACAAACTTTCATTCCTTTCGTCTGGGCAACGATGGTGAGTGAACCTTTATAGTTTTTTATTCCTTTCATCAGTGTAAAGTTGGCAGAGATGAGTGGTGAGTTTGCCCTCAGCTCTCTTAGCTTTAATAAACAAAATAAACTCGCAAAATATCAAGAAAGGAAATATTCTGACATCTATTTTCATTACCAAACAGAAAAATACAGACGTAAACCTTCTGAATTCAACTTTCTCTCTTTTAAGTAATTGTAAAATACCCCTATTTCAAAGAATATATCCATCCAGTGGCCCAAACCTACATCAGTAGAAACCTTTTTCCATATGTGACTATGCTCCGGTTGGTCACCTGTTTATTTTAAAATTTGTCTGTAACTTTGTCTCTTAATTTTCCGGTAATTCACCTTTATTTTTCTGCAGATGTGGAACAATGAACGCATCTCATGGGACCCTGCTCAGTTTTGTGGAATCCGTCAGATTGCAGTTCCTAGAGACATGCTCTGGAGACCAGACCTCTTCATCTATGAGATGTGAGCCTGCGGCACACACAGACACAAAGTGTAGTTCACACAAAGAGACACACAAATAACGGACTTTAATGGATGCTGTCTTACCCAGAATTAGATCTGTATGATAAATCTGAAACCTGTTAGCTAGCTTGGAAAAGTTACCTCTCCTAGCCAAGCAGCATTCTGGCCTTCAGGAGGAGGAGCATCTACAGTCCAGTTCATGATTTGTGTTTTTGTGTGTTGATGTCTCAGGATACAGAAGGACGACTCCCCTCTGAATCCCTACGTGCACGTGTCCTATGATGGGATCGTGACTTCTGAGGAGGACATGAGGGTGGTGAGCACCTGTAAGATGGATGTCCACAAGTTCCCCTTCGACACGCAGAGATGCAACATCACTGTCGGCTCTGCAGCACATTGTAGTGAGTGTGTGTGCTGCATGTGACTGCATGAATGGAAGTTTTTAACCCTCTTTTCACTCAAACGTTCTCCTCCCGCCACAGTTGATGAAATCCGGCTGTTCCCTTTCTCCAACTCCTCCCGAGCCACGCAGTTTTCCCGTGAGGTGATGAAGACACAGGGGGAGTGGGAGTTCCTCCAGCTGTCCGTCAACAGCTCCAATTACACCATCCACGATAGACAGTGGGAACTGCTCGTATACACTGTACGCTACACAGCGACAGATACTGATGGGTGACAATTTAGAGGAAAACCCTGAACGTATGAGTGGAGAAACGTAATGAATACAGATATAGAGCATCAGGGATCTGAGGGATGGTTTAACGTGATCACAGTCCAACAAACATCTATGTCAGATTTTACAGGGTAGACAGCGAGACTAGCATCAAAACATCAAAAGAGGTAATATCTTGGTGTTCAGACAATTAAATCTATGCAAAGAAACTTCTGGAGGCTCCAGAACTCGTCATTCATTTGTATTTTCTTGTTTTAGTTGTAAAAAAGACTGGTAAGTCTCAGGCACTCATGTCCAATGTGTGTTTTCAAATTGCTTAAATTGTGCGTCACTTAAGTCTCAAATGACAAATTTGTGCTCTTGAATTATAAATCAGGTCTGAAAATTAACGTTCACAGTTCAGTTTTACACTGTACTTAATTTGTGCTCTTAATAACATAATTTATACAATTTCAGTTCATTAATTTCGTGAGTTACATAACCGAAGTTACATATTTGCACTCTTGTGTTTCTAAATCTGTTCTCGTATGAATAAATTAAGTGAAGTTAACAGAACATAATCCAACCAGTATTGTCAGGTTTCCCAATTACTTAATTTGTGCTCTTCAGTTGCTTAAATTTGTGATCTTTAATTACTTTATTAATTATTTTTTAATAAGTTGAGTGCACAAATGAATCAAGCATAGTTAATAAAATTTTGTCAATTTAAAAACAATCCTTAAAGCCACAGTAGGTGGATCTAATTCTCAGGAGATTCAACAATCGACTATCTTTCTTGGCTCTGATTGGTTGTTCTTGTTCAGGCCCGGTAGATTCTTGTAAATACTATCAGGAGCACAAGGAGGAGCCAGATCTTTTCACAGATTATCTGTCTCATGTAGTACTGTCAGGATATAGTGAAAGTTATTCTTAAAATGACCTACTGCAGCTTTAATTCATGCTCTGCAATTAAAAAATGTGTGCAAATTAAAAGAACATAATATTTTATTAAAGTGAAACATACATTTTGAACACCTTTCTAACTCCGGAAATGTCGTAATTTCTTTTTTTCATTTCATCGATTTAGCCTGACCCTTGAACCTGTTTTCCTAGTTCACCATGAAGAGGAGGCCTCTCCTCCATGTCATCAACTTCCTGTTGCCCATCCTGTTCTTCCTGAGTCTGGACCTCGCCTCCTACTTCATCGCAGACCATCGGGGAGAGAAGTTGGGCTTCAAAGTCACAGTGCTGCTGGCCATCTCCGTACTGCTGCTCATCCTGAATGAAATCCTGCCCTCCATGTCCAACAATACTCCACTCATAGGTACAGACTGAATGAGATCTAGTTCCCCTTCATACTACTTGGATGGATTAATAAGCCATAAAAGTAATAGATGATTATTCCCTCCTCTCAGCGACCTACTGCATTGTGATCTTTGCTCTGATGCTGCTCAGTCTGCTGGAGACCATCTTGGTTACGTATCTTATGGAGAAAGACTCTGCATCCCAGGAGCTCAGCCTGAGGGACAACTGCAAGGACAAACAGGAAAAAGTCAAAATCGATGAATATAACACAGGTGAGACCCAGGTCACAGACAAGAGCTGTGAGCAACGAAGCTCATCAGTATCAGATGCTCCATGAATGAAAATGTTGTGGGGGAATTTAATCTAGTTTAAGTCTATAATTTTAAACAGCTTAAAACTTAATTTTTCAATCAGTTATTTCCATGCACCAGTCAGAATGTAACAATATAAGAGTTGCCAAGGAGCCTACCTACTATATATACCATGCTTCTTTCATATTTAGTCACAAAAAAGTGTTTTTTATATGCAGTATTATTGTGAATCATGTTTCTTGTGCAGTAATCCTTGTGACAAACCTGCCATGTGATTTCAGATGAGAACAAAAAAACCTGCTGTTCATGCATCTGTAAAGCGTCTGATGGTGAAAAACAACATGAAATGCTGCCTGTTTCTGAAAAGGTACTGCATATAATAGGTTCAGATACAGGATTATTACCACAAGCCAGGTCGATGAAATTGTGTAGTTTCTTGTGTGTGTGGCTTTTAAAAAAGTCGTTAAGAGGAGCTGAAAAACCAGAGTACTCAAGTACTGGACACAACCAAGTGGAAAGCTGGGAGTGGGGAGTCACACTTGGAAAGTAAGTTGAAAATTAATAGAAAATAATTAGAGACTAATCCAATGACAGCACGTTTATAAAAAGAGGACATATCTATTTCTAATGTAATGTAATGTATGTTCTCAGTATTGGGGTAAATCCAGCCCAAAGAATGCATGGTTACGCCCTAGTTTAGGGGGAGACCAGTGTGGAAAGACCACTTAATTTTTCCTTTTAGTATAATTTTATGCAGTGTCTGTAAAATGGCCTTATTTTACGGAATCGAAAGCAACTTGTTCCAATGAGAACTAGTGACTATATACGGGTCTAGTATATAATAGTAGGACATTACAGTGGATTATTTATCACTTTAAGGAATAATGTTACACTATATACCAACGTTTAGACTGCAGGTTCATTGTTCAACAGTGGTGTGATAACATGGCAAGATTCAATGCATTTACATGCTTTAAACATCTTACGTTGCCTTATTCAACCTGTTAAGAACCAATAACTTGACCTCTAAAGAATATCCTGTGTGATAACATTTATGAGACACTTGTAATACATTATCAGCTTCAGCGGGGAAAGCCAACCCACTCTAACATGACTCCTGGTGTGTGCAGGTGAACACTCGCATTGAGTCTGGAGAGTCTCATGTGTTACTGTTGATCCTGGAGGAGCTGCAGGAGCTGCAGAAAGCTCTGAATCTGCACCTCAGCTGCAGAAAGGAAGGAGGGAAGTCCTTCCAATGGGCCCAAAGGATCAACAGAGCCTTCTTCATATTCTACGTCACCACTGTGTCACTGTTTCTACCCTTCATCTTCATAGAGTGGAACTCTTAGAAGTGTAAAATAAAACCATGTAATACTTCAGTTTCTGTATTAACACGTGATGTAAAACTGTAAAATTGTGTCGTGTTGTGATTATAAAAGCAAACTTTGTGTATTTAAAGTATCTCATTCTAAATCTCTTTTACGTGGTTTACGTGGATTGTGCTGTCGATGAAAGCTTTGTTCATTCAGTTTAATGCATTGTTTTGAATACAATGGTATAACATGTGTAATGAAGAATCTATGTCTCTTCACAGCAACAGATACCAGAATAAAGTGAAAGCTACATGTTGACTTTCAAAAAACAACAATACAATAAAACCTAAAATATAAACCAACTGGAGTCTTTTGACAGAAAATGTGAATTCATGATGAATCTGTAGGCTAAAACATAAATTGTACCTCAAAATGTTTTTTAAAGGACCAGTGTGTATGATTTAATGGCTTGGTTGTTTCACTTTCTCCTTCCAAGCGTGAAGGAGAAACAACGGTGGCTGCGAAATGCACGAAAAATACAAAAGTCCCTATTGAGAGACAGTGAGGGCTTTAATGAACGAAAACACACCTAAACATGAACATAGGAGTCAATCAGGGTCGAGGAGCATTACGTAGGGCAGGCTGCTGTGTGTAAAATAATAACACTTGCTTCCTCATGTTACCTAAATAATTAAAATTATGTCTCCCTTTGAGTGATTGAAACTTTGTTGGGCAGTTTCTGGTTGTTTCAATCTACTTGATAAACGTTGTCACATAAAGTTTACCCATTAAGAATATTATTTATACATCTTCACCCCTAACACTAACTTATTTTAGAGACCCTCCACCAGAGCTCAGATTACGACCCAAACCTCGACCTCACCTCCAGAAATCGTTTGTGCAACGTGACAAAGAATAGAAACAAATCTAATCCAATGTGATCCGATCAGGACAATCGATTATAAAAGATTAAAGAGGAAATTTCACCGCTTCCAGTTGAAATCCTTCACGTTGACAACAGTCTCCAGTGAGTGTGTGAAACACTAACAAGCACTCAAACTCACTGACCTCCCTGATGTAATATTTTCTCCACTGTAATATTTCACATTATCTCTCCGCTCGGAGGAATACGTCTTCCTCTGCTCTCCTGTTTCAGTCTACTTTCACCTCACAGCTCATCGGTCACTTTAAACCAATCACGTCCATCCTCAGCAGCCCTGAGATCCTCGACGTTATAAAAATATCATCAAAAAGGAAGCTCGTCCATCATTTGGTCAATCATAGCGTGGATCTGGTGTGTTGCAGTAACATGAGGACACAGACACATGTGCACTCATCGCTCAGGCTGCTACAGCGCTATAAAAAGTCCCCTCAGGACTTTCACATGTTTTATTGTTTCACCACATCGAATCACAGAGGATTTTGATTTGATCTGTTTTAGCCATG